ACTGTCTTCTTCGAGGTCTTCTTCCAGTAGGACCTTCCTGAAAACCCTCCAGAAAGACAAGGAGGAGCACCAACGCTACTCTGAGCTCCCTCCAAATGATGGATGTTATCTCTATGGCTGAACCCGTCCACGTTACTCTGGCACAACCATTTCCTGCAGGATCAATAAAGTTCTATCTTATCTACAGAGGAAGAGCAGTCCAGGTGCTGGATCCAGGATCTCATTGGTCCTGCTCTGTACCTCATGACTAGAGGGGTTGCCAAAGAAATAAGGACTTTATATGTCATTGTATGTGGAAAAACAAAACATAAAAACTAAATGTGTCTCCTGGATGTGTATACATAAAATCTGCTAATGGCAACAGTGACCAGTTTCAGAAGCTGTGTTCGATGCTTGTTGTTCTGGCCCGAACTAGGCCCGTCACGGTAACAAATTTTGCTGGGCGATTAATTGTCAAAAATATTATTGCGATAAACGATAATATTGTTTGAAATTTGACAATAATTAATTATTATTGTCAAATTTAAGAAGAAATGTTGGTTAATTTTGTGTGTAGTACCTTTTTTGACCACTGGATGTCAATATAAGATTGTTTGAACCGAAGGATGGATAGTGAGGGAGCGAGCAGCGTGTCTCTTTAAGAAAAATGAGAGGGAGGCTTCTTGACGTGACATGGGCTCTCTTTCGATTCTCAAAATGGTGGACGCTCCGTGTGGTTTGAGCTCTTTAGCATTTTTCACACAAAGCTTCTAATAAAAACCCTGTAAACAAGTTCTCAGCTTCTTTTTGCAGAGAAAAACTACTTTTTACACGAAAGCACGGGTTTCAACCGTGAATTTTAGAGCTTCGACAAGACGGATGATTTTTTTCTCGAGGTCGGCCTGTTAGCTCGTAGCTTAGCTGCTTTTAACGATCCAAACACGTGATTTTTGACAGTTAAAACAGATTTTAAAGAGAAAGGGAGGGGTCAGTGAAGAACACCGGAGTTGATCTTTTTGTCATCCAGTGTCTTCAGTAGAAAGAGAGAGACACGAAGAAACGACAAAGCCGATAAATGAAAATGAGGTTGATAATTTTCATTTATCATCGATTAATTGATTAATTTCTTATCGCAAGAGGTCTAGCCTTAACCCTCTGGAGCTTTCTGCCTGAGGTGGAGAGGTGGGTCAAAAAGTTTATGGGTCGGGTGGGTGGGGTCCCCCATATTGCCGGATGGCCTATTCCTGCAGTGAAGCTGCTGTTCCTATGGACGGCTTTAATATTCAAAAATACTCATTGCATTTTTGGAATTCATGATTAATTTATTTCCAAGAAGTACTTCCTGCTTCGATAACTATCATGTTTGCAGGTTTCTACTCGTAACTAGAAATCTGTGTGACAATTGCCAGTGGAAAATTCTAAGTTGGAGGCTCGACCACTGCCAGAAATAATCTTCCAGTGCTGAAACAAGATAATAGTTTCTTTTTATTTTGTCCAAATAATCCCCTGAAACATGCAGTAGGGTTTTTGGCTTTCCGAAGTGTCTTTATTTCCACTGTTTCCACTGCGTGGGCTTTCCCGTCAACGTTGGCTCGAATCTGTAAATCAGGTTTATTTGACACCAGAGAAGATTGTGAATAACCACTAAACAGACCAGGAGGATTGCAAAGTATTTCATGGACTGCTGTTTCAACGGTTCAGAACCAATTTACAAGTTTGGTTTGTGAAAAGAAAAGCTTCAAACTGCTCATGGAGACCATTGAAGCACCCGAGCGGGCACCACACGACAGACTGTCGAGTCAAAAGATGCTGCAGGTTATGACTTTATTGAACAATCTTTGCAACAAAACTCATGACTGGATCCTGACGAGGAGGTGTCTTCTTGTTTTTTAGATGTTGGTTTTTAGAAAATACCCGTTCGCGTCTCAAAGTCTCTGCTCTTCAGAACTCAACGGGAACTTTTCTTTCCTCTGTACTTCAGGATGTTTATCTGTAAATTGTGAAACTGAGCGATCCTGGATTTATTTACGTCTCGGGTCTGGAGGCCGTGTTTTACTCAGTCACCCACTTTATTTACTTTTTTAATTTGATGAACACTTAAAACTTCATGCTCTTTGAAAGTTTGATTGGAAAGTTTTTGCTTTGTTTTTAGTTTTTAGCCACTGATTTCTAGTTTTAGCCTTTAGATAACAATCTGCCAATTTTAGCTGTTAGCTATGTTTTTTTATTTATTTACTATTTTTGGCTTTTAGCTACTGTTTTGCTCATTTTAGCGTTTAAATACTTTTCTTTCAGTGTTAGCTTTTAGTTACTGTTTTAGTATTTTTAGATTTTAACTACAGCACTGTTCTGTTGGACTTAACTTTCAGCTACTGTTCATCTAATGTTAGCTTTTAGCTGCTGTTCTTCTAATTTTAGCTTTTAGCTACTGTTTAAGGTTAAAGTTTATTTATTTGTCGTTCGCACCACATGTGATACAAAAAACGAAAATGTGTACACAGGGCCCCATTTACATCCAAAAATTTAGTATTTGGTATATGTTAAGCAATTATTATTTTGTTTATTTTTATGTATTTGATTGTTTGTTTTTGCCTAAAGTATCTTATATAAACATTTTGGCTTTTATTTTGATAATTTAACATCTTCAAATGCCAGTAAATCCCTTCAGAGTTCAGCGTTAACGCTGCATTTTCCTCTAGTTTCATGTCTTTATTGGTTGCAGTTTGTTAAATAATATAAAGAGTGTAATTAGTGATTATCCATCCTGCAGCTGATGAAGTATAAAAAGTTCAAAATGAAAAGTTCTTCTATAAATTTTACTGAAATTGGCGAATCAGGCTCCAGAGTTTAATTTAACAACATGAATAAATCAAACATGAGTCTGCAGAGAAGGTCCTGAGCAGCCGTACGGTGCGGAGGATGGATCAGGGCTGTAAACCGATCCGGACGCCCCGTCTTGACCTCAGCCTCCAAGGATGAACCGTTGGTTTGATCTGGGGGGTTGGGGGGTAAAAACTCCGGGTTTTACCGGATGACTGACTCTACTCATCATGTGTCCCAGGAGGACAGGAAGCTCGCAGAGGGATCTGCTCATGTGGCCACTCCAGAGATCAGACACCAGATGTTTGGATCTGGAAACGTCTGGAATAAACTAAAAATCTGTTGGAGCTCAGAGTATGTGTTAGGGATCACTCTCAGTGACTACCACACCAAATTTTAGCTCAATATCTGTAATTCTGACCGTTACAGCCATTGTTGTTAATAGGTTAGTCAGCTACATGCAGCTTTAGCTCTTTGAGCTTTAGCTACTGTTCTGCTAATTGATACTTTTAGCTACTGATTTACTAGTTAAAGCTTTTAGCTACTGTAGTACTAGTTTAGGCTTTAGCTATTCTTCTACTTATTTATACTTTTAGCTACTGTTTTACTAGTTAAAGCTTTTACCCCGTTTTGCTCATTTTAGCTTTTAGTTACACTTTTGATAAAATTTTAGTGACAGTTTTGATAGTTTAAGCTCTTATGTTTTTACTCGTTTTAGCAACATTTTGGCTACTTTTAGCCTATAACTAATCTTTTGCTACTTTGAGCTTTTAGTGTTCGGCAGATATTTGCTTTTAGCTACCGTTTCGATCGTTTGAGCTTTTTTCTACTGTTTCACTAGTTAAAGCTCTTAGCTACCGTTTTGCTGATTTAGCTACTGTTCTAACTAGCTTTTAGCTAGTTTCAATCATTTAGCTTTTACCTAATGTTCTGCTCATTTGAGCTTTTAGCTACCATTTTGCTTGTTTGGGCTTAAAGCTCAAACTCTTAGCTACCATTTTGCTGGTTAAAGCTTTTAGATACTGTTGCCAACTTAAGCATTTATCTGCTGTTCTAATTAGCTCTTAGCTACAGTTTCAATAATTTAACTAACATTGTTTTTGCTAGTTAAAACTTTTAGCTACTGTGTTGCTAGTTTAGGCTTTTGCCCAGCATTTAGCTCATTTCAGCTTCTAGTTAGTAAATACTTGTTGGGGGTTCAGATGAAATCTGTCTTGTGGTTCATGAAGTATTTTGCTAACAGACAAATAGTCACGTGACAGTGCTGTAACGAGTGTTGGGACGACTCTCAGATACACTAAATTTTAGCTCGTTAGTAAATTAAGTTTTAGCCAGTTTGTTCACTAGCCATGGTGGCCATCTTGAATCAGATTGACTCCAATTGCTGGTTTCAATAAAATGTGTCCAGTAATCTGTTAGCAAAATATCTAACAGAGTAACTCTCGTCTTTCACGGTGGCTGCGATTCTAAATCTGTGGCCGAACTAAAACAAGCTCCCGGTGGTTCTGGTCCCAGTTCTTCCAGCAGCAGTCTCTGGACTTTCTCCAACAGATGTGTTCAAGCCGTTTCCCAGCAGGCCCTCAGGACCTGTGGCCTCTTGGTCCTGGACTGACATCACCCAGATGGCAGGTGGTCTTACACAACATGAGTCCCTGTGAGGTACAAGCCCCGCCCCCTCAGGGTCTCAGCTGTGGACGAGTTGGCAGTAATGGCTTCCTGTGCACCCCAGCCATTAGCTTCAACTGCTGAGGTCTGAGCAGGACCAGCTGGTCCAGCAACAAATTAAACAAAGAACTTGAAAATGGAAACTAAAATGGTAGTAGCTGAGGATAATCTCCAACATGCTGCAAGTGTCAAAGATGGGTTAGGAAACCAAACCTGAGCTGGATTTTGCCAATTTGTGATAAACTCAAATTCTATTAATGGTCAGGACAAGACAAACGTTTGCCCTTGATGAAGCGTGACAGTAAAGTTGTTAAATTCATGAGCAGATCTGAAGTTACGGGCTGAACAAAAGTCACGTATGGAAACTATACATCCAGGTTTTAATGGCTGATTGAGGAGAAGCTGCTTCAGTTTCTCTCAAATCTGTCCAAAATAAAACCATGCCCCTGGAGAAGTTCACATTCCTTCAACCTTACATAAAAACATGGTCTCACATCGCCCCCTTGTGACAAATAAATTTTAAAAAAGGGTCTGGTCAAGACCATTTATTAGAGGTTTAAAAATACATTTCACATCATTTAAAAGCATCTGTACAAATCACTCCCAAACATGAACGCAGTAAAAGTTTTTAAATCTACCAGACGGTTTTTGAAGACGTGCCACAACCTAAATAAAATTTTGTAAAAATCCCCTTGAAGACCAAAAACTGTGCATGAATCATGAAACGGGTAAAGGGTCGGAGACTTGCTGGATCAGTCTCAGAACTGTTTAAAATGGCACATGTTCAAAAAGTTTTAAAAAATTACATTTGTACAAATCAGCACACGGTGCCAAGGATCGTCTCACTGGGAGAGCTGCTTCGCCAGATCTTTGACCACAGACGACTTGAGCTGAGGGATGGTGGCGATCCTCATCTGCTTCGAGGTCGAGTATTTCCCCTTCACGGCCTGAAAGACCACATTTTAAATTCCAACACGGGCCTCAAGAGCAACCAGGGAGAGGTAGAGGTCCGGTCGACTCACCATGTGTTTGGTCAGCCCTTCGTTCACTTTGACGACGTTCTTGGCGATGTGCGCCATAACAGGAATCAAACTCTCTGCCGTGTAGTCCATGTAGTGTTGGAGCATCACGTCCTGAGGAGGAGGGACAAGTCAAGACGCCCTGCAGGTTCAACTGTATTTTTTTAAATAGATTAACGGTTTACACACCCAGTCGCCCACTTCCAGGACCTTCAAGGTGAGGGCCAAAGCTGCGCTCGCCACCATGGAGGGCGGGAAGTGAACCATGTCGTAGTCGACCATGGTGAGCTCCAGCAGGTATTTGGCCAGAGTGTGCTGCTCAGCCGTCACCTGTGAGAAAACAAAGCGACGGTCAGAGAACGACCTTTGACGGCGGTCGAAGCTGCACCGAAAGCGCCGCCGCAGACCTCGTAGATCTTCGAGGCCCGGCGGAGGAACTGCAGGGGGAGAGGCCGGCCCAGCTGAAACTTCAGCACCCTCAGGATGGTCATCTCCATGTCTCGGATCTGGGCGGTGGTGTAGGCGCGGTCCGTCACGTAGGCGAAGTCGGAGATCTCCGGTGGATACATTTCCTCGTACTTTGAGGCCAGGAACATGGCGGACACCCCGACCAGCTGGAGCTGCTTCTTGGGGACTGGGTGGTCCTGTTGTGAGGGGGGGGGGGGCAGCCTTTAGGAACGTCTTCTGCACATCATGTTTGAATAAAGACCGGGTCTCACCTGAAGAAAGCGGTCGATCATTCCTACGGTCATGTACATCGTCTCCTGCAGCAGACGAAACTTGAGGTTCACCTGCACCAACCAGTCGATGAGGATGGCCCTCATGTTCCCAGTGACCTCCTGACCCTGCAGGTAGCTGGACCTGACACTCTGCTCAGCCTAAAGAACAAGAAGCTCGTTAAACCGCTGTCCGACACGAACCACAGGTCCGGCTTTGGGTCGGCTCACCTCCAGCTGGCGGAGATATTTGTAAATGTCCTTCACGTATTCGCTGCAGAGCATGGGGTTATCGTAGTCGTCTGCGTCCACGTCCCTGATGGCCGTGTTCAGGATGACGTCGGAGAACGCCTGGCAGAGGTCAGCGGGCTCGCAGCCAGAGGTCTCCATGGGGGTCGGGGAGGTCGGTTCAGGCTGAACCTGCAACAAGACAAAGTTTGGCTGCACCATGGACACTGACTGGATTGGATGAAGCGTCTCCAGCACCTACGACATGTCCAGACGTCCTGGTGAGGTCCAGTCCCTCGGCGTGCAGGACAGCACTGACCAGACTTGAAAGAAAGTTTCAGATCTGAAGAGAACTCACCTGCGGTTCAGGCTCAGGTTGAGGAGCAACCGGCTTTGGTTCAGGCTTCTCAACTTTAGTGACTTTAATCTTCTTTGTAGCCTCCGTTTTGACATTCTGCAAGAATTATCATTTTTCAAATGTTATTATTCGTTACTACATTTGAGTTAACAGAACGCTGATCAGCTTTGGCAGACATCTTGAATGATATCGGCTTCAACAGTGATTGCAGACGTACGTCCACCGTCTCATAGCACCTGGAGGAGGAGTTCATGACTCAGCCACAGCTCTCAGTTTAAATAGACTGAAGTATTTACTTTGTGTGCAGTTGCTAAGGTAAGGTGGTGGTGGCAACCATTTTGAACCAGTTAAACTCTAAAACCAAGTAATTCCTGGGCTTCAGATTAAAAACATGATTACCTAAAATATATAAAGTCTCTTTATGAAACTTATTCTCTTCATTTAAATAGTAAAATTATTAAGAGTCAAGTTATTTACATTTGAAAAGTTGAATTCTTGAGATGCATTTTAGTTCCAAGAGAAACTCTAGAATGATTTTAATTGAAAAAAAGAAAAATAAATTGATTTAAAAACCTACAGCTTTTGTATGAATCGATGAATTAAGTTTAGACCTTCCTCCCCGGTTTAAATTTTGTGATTTTAGAGTCAAGCACTATTCACTTCCAATAATGGAATGGATTTTAGAATTAAACAACTTGACAAAAAGAAAAAGACAGAGAAAAATTGCAAATAAAAAATTTGCTCATCTTTATTGCTCAGAAGGCACAACATTACCATACATTGAATAATACAGCTGTTGTAGTTAGACAGGATAAAATAAAGAGTTTTTTTAAATGTTTACATTTAAATTGACCAGCGTCTCCCATGCTTTATTAAAATTCAAACTCTTTTTACCCCTCGAGGGCTTCCATAGTGAAACTAAACTCCCTTATTTGAACTGAAGCTAAAGGCTACACGAGCTACTTTCTTACATTTCCAGTAAACGTGTTAAAATTGCGTTAATTCGAGCAGCAGGAGGGACATTTTACCTTTTTCTGAACTTCTTTGCCGACTGCGATGTTTCCGATTTCTCCGAGCGCAGCTCGAGGCTTTGCGGGCCCGATCACTGAGCACGTCTTCCCTCCGAGCTCGGTTCTGGTAGAACCGAGGCGATTCTGCAGGAAATCAATTAAATCCAACAAATTATTGGTCACGTGTTGCTGAATGCTGACAACTTGGAAAATGAAGCTTTTATTATGAACACATAATGCACAAGATAGCAAAACTCGTCGCACCGACGCGCGAGGTGACTTAGAAAAATATCCATTTTAAGCCCAGAACGATTAAAGACATCTCTTCCGAGGCATATCAGAGAAGAAAAGCTCTAAAGACGTGTAGATACTTACTCTGGTAGTCACTCGCAGAGCCATTTTTATTTTTTATTTTTTCAGATAAACGTGGCTTCACAAACCAGCAAAAGAGTCGTAATGGCGGAAGATACTGCTCGACTGAGAGAATCAAGGTCTAACTTTAAATCCTCGCTCGGTACACGCTGATTGGCTGCGCGCTGGAGCCAGCGAGCTTCTGATTGGCCGAACGCATCTGTATTAAATGCGTTACCCCGACAACGCGAGGTCACATGACCTGGCTCACATTTCTTTTTCCTGTTACATGTTCTCACCCCACCCTTGTTCTCCCACGTAGTTTTTTTTAATTATATATATTAATAAAGTAATAAAGGTTTACTGCCATGCGGTTATTCCCTTTTATACTGATTATAAACATTTAAATCAGTGACAATTTAACAAATTAGAGGGAAAAAAAACTTTAATTTGCTTCTTCCTCCACATGAACATGAGACTTAGCATTTATTTGTTTAGCATTAATTTAGAATTTATCTTTGTTTTAACTATGCGTCTGCTTGTGATTTTTTTAAAAATAAAGAAAATATAGAAAGCTGAAGCAGTCTTGCCAGTGTGTATTGTGTCTGTTAAAAATTCAAGGCTGTTGACAAAATATGCCACATGTGGGTGAAGTAAAGGCCTGTGTCATCTTCATGCCAGTTTTTTTTAGACTGACTCCTGGCGCCTGAGTTTGTGGAGATGGAGCCAGGCAGAAGGAGAAATCCTGCACAAGACAGGCCCTGGAGCAATGTGGATATCCTCACTGGGCCTTCCTGAAAGCAGAGAAGAAACCCAAAGTCAACCATCAGGTGAAATAGAGGAACCCAGACCAGTGGTCATTCCGTATGTTGCGAGAGTTTCAGAGAAACTGAGACGTTTATTTTTTAAATATGACGTCTCAGTGGCTTTTAAACCCCAAAATACATTACGGCAAAGACTGGTCCATCCCAAAGATCCAGTCCCTCGGCACAAACAGTAATGTTGTGTATGCTGTTCAGTGTCAGGAGGGTGATCAGTCTTACATAAACAGCCACTGGCCAAAAAGATGGCCCAGCACAGAAGAGCAACATCATCAGGCCAAGACTCTGTGGTCTACACTCATCTCCAGGCCAGAGGTCACTCATGAACATGTGCACATCCTTGCTAGATAGGAACGTTGATTTGAGAGAGGAGTGAAGGAGGCCATCTTTGTGAAAAGAACTCGTCCATCGAAGCGTTTCAACAAAGAAGAATCCGTCCCGAGGACCTGATGCCCCGTTTACACAATGTTTTTGAAGTGAAACCGCTGTTGGGCCGTTCGTTTACATGACAACAACCGTTCTTTCTGAATGGAGATGAATTGGATGAATTTTCGGGGAACCCACCACAGAGGCGTGAAATGCTCTGTGAAGTCCCACATGCACTACATGCTGCAGTCCAAAGTTTTCCTGCTCTAACAACAGTTATAATAAATGGCAGAGAGCAGTGTTCTTGTGCTACTCGACCTTTTTCAGCATGTAGGAGCAACATTAATAAAATCCAGGCTCCAAAGAGATGTTAGTGGATTCATCAGTATGATCATGCATACACTTCATGCGAGATGAATGCAGCTGAGCCCTGCATCAGTTCCCAGATAAATTTAAAATGTCTTATTTACCCCCCTCCTTTTCTGTGCACATGTTCAACAAACACACACCTCATCTTATTATATCTTTACTCAGCACATATGACAGTTTAGGTCAAAAATATTGGTCATAATTAGGTCGTAATACATTTTAAAGCCACAGTTCATTATTTCTTATCTGGCAACCCGACTGACATGGAAACTACAGCGTTTTCGTGTAAACCCACTCTTTTTTTGTTTATTACCTCCAATAAACATTGAAAAAACACTAAAGTTTCCAGAGGCTGTTCTCGTGTAAACAGGGCCTTAACCTTGTTGGATTTTTCAACCTGGATTATTGAGCATACATCAGGACATTCATGTAGATGTTGAAATTGACAGCTTAAACATAGCCTTTAATTTGATAGAGTCAATTGATTTTACCCATAATGTCCACACATCTACTCATTCTTTTCATCACACTGTTGATCCGGTCCTGACTTAAGGCATAGATATCAAGTACTTGTTAATACATCCCCAAAATCGTGTTCTCTCTGATTATTTTTAATAACTTTTGAGTTTACATTAAAAGACTAAACAGTCACTGAGAATACATTTCATTATAGTAGGTGTTTATCAGAGACTGCTGCACATGTTACCAAATTTAAAGAATCTCTTCCATTGTTGTTTTCATCTGTCTTGCAGAGTAATGCTGTAGAGAGCAGTGACAGATGATCTTGTTGATAATTTTACAACCTCAAATAAAACATCACTTGACAAAACTGCTCCGCTGAAAAAAGAAAGTAATCAGTCAGAGGAGACTGGCTCCTTGGATCAGTTCCGAGTTACGTACTTTAAAGCAGGCATCTAGAAAGCTGGAAATAAAACGGCGCTCCACTAATGTTGAAGAATAATAGTAATATAGTGACGTCTGGATCACCACTGCTGGGGCTGGAGCTGATTAAAGCACTGAAGATCATCATCTTTTGTGGAGAAGTTTCAGTAAAGCAACAGAACCTTTTCAATGTTTGTGAATAACAGTCTAAGACCACTCCGTTACTGTATGGTGTTCCTCAGGGTTCAGTCTTAGGTCCTATTCTGTTCCTTCTGTACATCAGCCCCCTTGGAAAGATAATCAGTAGCTTCAGAAATGTGTCGTACGATTTCTGTGCTGATGACATTCAGCTGTACTGTTCGTTCTATGACTCAGAATTAACGCAAGTTAGCTGACTTAGTAAACTGTGTTTCCCACATTAAGGCTGGCTAGCTAACAACTGCCTTCAGTTAAATTCTAGCTAGTCTGAAACCCTGATCCTTGCTCCTGAACAGAAAGTTCCTTGGATCAAGCAACACCTCGGTTCGGTGGGTTCCTCTTCTCAGCCGAGCCTCAGAAACCTTCGTGTTCTGTTCGACCAGTCAGTGTCGTTGGACAAACATTCAAAGCTTCTGGTAAAGAAAACTTCTTTATCATCTGAGAAACATTTCTAAATTGAGGGCAATGTTATCCAAATCTGACCTGGAGATGATTATTCGTGTTTTTATTTCTTCTCGTTCAGATTATTGTAATTCCCTTTTTACTTGTTTAAACAAAATCTGCCGTCGCTCGTCTCCAGTTGGTCCAGAACGCTGCTTCGAGGCAGGAATCAATAGAAGGTCTCACATCACACTGGTTTTATCTTCTCTTCATCGGCTGCCTGTTGAAGTTAGAATTAATTTTAAAATTTTAGTCTTGACTTTTAGAGCTTTAAATGGACAGGCCCCCCAGTACATCACTGAAACGATGATCCCCTATTCTCCAGCACGCACTCTTCGGTCTTCAGCACTGAACCTCCTAAAGCTCCCTAAGACCCGGTTTAAAACTCAAGGTGACCTTTCCTTTCAGGCTGTAGCCCCCCGGCTGTGAGATGCCCTGCCCCTGTCTCTTTGTGTGACCATCTCTGTTGATTCCTTTACAAAGCAACTGAAGACACTTTTATTCAGACATGCTTTTAGTTAAATGTTTTATTTACTGTTTTAATCAGCTGTTCTTGCTGTTTTTGTTTAATTTTAAGCTTGTGTTTTGTATTTCTGTAAAGCACTTTGTGATTGTATCTATGAAAAGTGCTATATGCTTCTTTACTTCACATGAGGTCAATCTGGACTTGCACAAGTTCAGTCAGGTTTTGACCTCTGACCCCGTGTGCCAGGAGGTGACTGTTCTTACAAGAAATTGTCCACAGAGGGACAGACAGACCATCATATGTCCTGGATGAATAAAAACAAGGCCCCTGGTGACATAATACGATTAGTAACTTTTAATTAATCGTTGAATGACAGGCATTTACATCGTTGCAACGTCCCGAAACCTTCAGTGAGCGTCGTCCAATCACAGGCTCACAGTTTCCGTGACGTCACCGGAAGTAGAAAAGACGCATACGCCTCACGTAAAACAAAACAGATGCCACCGCAGCGCGACGGAACCGCAGACTGAGGGCAGAGGACGTCGCTAAGAAGAAAATCAGCCGAAGCTGAGCGAGAAGAAAACGGAACAAAACGAAAGAAACAGCAACAAAAAAAGATTAGCCGACCCTAGTTAAGCTAGTTAGCTGTAGTTAGTTAGACCGGTTGAGTTTTGCCAGAACAGCGTTTCTCAGACACAAAAGGGTGAGTTGAACCAATAACGTGGTTAAATGTTGTCATACTGGCATCAATTTACAACATAAAAACACCAACAAATGAGTTAAAACGTGTTTGTAAGTATAACTAAAGTGCCTTAACGAGACATGTTTGCTAACACGTGTCGCTTAAAACTTTGTCCTTCCAATTGCGAGGTTTTAATTTTAACAATAAAAATAATTATCTTCAGCCTTATAGTTGAAGTTGAGTGAGTTTATCTTGATAACCAAACGTTAATTTATCTTGAGTTTCTATTTAAGATTAAACTTGGTTTGTGTTAATCTGTTAGCATTCTGACTTCTAGTTTCATGTTGTTGGCTAACTTTACTCGGCGTTCGATTGTTATTTCGTACTCCAAATCGCTTTTATGCATTCATTCATACAATATTTAGAGTGATGATCCCATATATTTAAAATAGTTTTAGGTTCTGATGAGCTCTTGGTGGAAAAACAAAAGGACAAAGAAGGAGCGTTTAGGAGCGCTAGCTCGATAGCATGTTGCTAACTTCCGGAAGCTAAAAGAGTAACGAGGCAGAGCTGTAAAACTAATAATATATATTTTTATATAATCTAATAATTCGATGACTGTTACAGGATTTAAACGCGATTCGCTTGTTCTGACCAGGTATTTATGTGGTGTGTGTTTTTATTGTGAATGTGTTAGCATCGTTAGCTTGCTAGCGTGACTCAGTGGATTTGTAGGTTTAAAGCGGCTGTGGCCCAGAAACGTTCCTGAAGCTCCTGACTGCTGCCGAGGCAAACATTACTCGATTTATTGAACCGTGTTCACCCGATGTTCATCAGGTTTTACTTGCTGTTGAGTCTCATCGTGATAGAAATGAGCAAACATCCATGACATACTGAGGTTGTTGCTCTTTGTCTCAGTGATGATCTACAGGTGACCTAAAACATTACATTTAATTTATTGTGGAGAGATGGCACCTAGTTGATTAAACTGTATGCACAGAGCTCTAGTCTGGCAAGAATTAATGATAAGGTGGTCTGATGTAGCAGCTTTCGATCATAGCAAACTGTTTAACCTAAAAAAAAAGTGTAAATATTCTCATTAATGTTATAGTTGCGTTACAACTTTATTTATGTAGCATTTTAAAAACGACACCGTTGGCCAATAATTAACTGAAGCCGTAAAAGTAATGAACAATTAAAAATCATAAAACAACAAACGGTAAAAACATTTAAACAAATGCATTTGAAATGGTAACGAAATTAATCAGTTTTCTTTCTCTGAGGTCTCTTGGACTGAGTCCTTGTGACTCATTGAGACCAACCTTTATAAATAACGGTTGAATGAAAGAAGAATCACAACTGATAATTGAATCAATTATTGACTAAAAGTAAAGCGAGTCAGACCAAATCACTAAAATTCTGTTTATCGTTTCTAAGTGAAACTAACTTTTCCCTTACGTCAACAGCGTTTGTATTTTTTGACTCCGGTTCTCAGAAGTGGAAGTTTTTTGAGACTCCCGGCATCATTTTAAGGGGAAAGTTGCTGACCTGCGCCTGCGTGACGGTGGTGCTGTGTTTTATGGGACGTTCCGACTTTGCTGCACTGAAGCATTTCTCACATTCTTCAAATATCGAACAAGCCTCTGAAGTGAAGAAATGGAAGAATGAGCATGAGCATTCTACGAATACTGTGGGTCCGAACAAACACGTGTACTCACCGTTTTGGATTCAACTGTTCTGGAACAAACAAAACAAGAGCTAGTGGGTGTGATTTTTGTTTTGCAAAAACACCAGTTTCAGAACATCCTAAATGGTGAGCATGTTTGTTTGGACCTGCAGTATTTGTAGAATGTGACTACGTCTCTGCTGAGTAGCACAAACGTCACTCTGTCCATCATTGCTGCTGTTTGTTTACTCATGCACGCACAGAAAACCTGAAACGATGCCGGGCCTTTCCAAAAAAAAAAAAAAAGCCTCCACTCTGAGGCGTGGATTCAGAAAGTTTCTGCTTCAGAGAAAACAGCCGCCCTTGTGCACGTGGAGTGGTTCCTAACTCGTAAACTGCAGTTTGCGTATCTGTCGCATGCAAATCTCTCTCAGGGGGGTCGTTGTTAATCCGATCAGCGCGGGAGAGGTTTTGGTCACATTCGTGAAGGTGTGAACTGGAGTGAAACTGTGTGTGTGTGTGTGTGTGTGTGTGTGTGTGTGTGTGTGTGTGTGT